CGCCTTATTTCCACAGTCCATGAGGTCGGCAATGTCTGCATAGGAAGTCACAGCCAGTTTAGACAGGTCTTGCACATAGGGGCCCAGGATGGGGTGCTCCCGGACACGCAGAGAGCCCCGACTCTTGGGGTTCAAGAGGTCTCGTACTCGCTCGCAATAGATCTCCATATAGCTCACCTGAGCGGGAGGAGCAGATAGGAAGTGAGGAAGCCGACAGGGATGCTGTTGGGGAAACTAACCTCCACCGAACAGGACAAAGTGAACTGCAGCCCGGGCATAGCAAACATGGTGCTAGGCCGGATACACTAGCTCACTGGTCCTCTCACCAACCCAAGGAGGTGAGTCTAAGCCTCAGCATCCCGTAGAAGAACATCCTCAGCAGCTACAAGCTGAAATCACTGCCCAAGGTCACGTTAGTCACCAGCACAGCCAGAATTAGGTCCCAAGCTGACGCCAGAGACAGACCTCAGTCTTAATCACTGTTTTCCTACATTCTTGTCCAGGGGTACCAGGCCTCCTGCCTCCCTGCACCAAGACTGGGGCTCACCTCCACAGAATAGGAAAGCTGAGCGTTCTGGTTCACGTGAACACGAGAGAAGAGGTCCTCGCAGAGCTGGAGGGCGACACAGAGAAGTTGCTGTTCAGGGCATACCTGCAGCTCCAGCCCCAGGCCAGACCTTGCCCCAAGTGACCCTTTCCACAGCTGCGAGGGAGGGGTCAGTCCCATTTTACAGACAGGAAGAGAATCTCTCAAAGGTTCACATTTGTCTAGAGTCACAAGCTAGTATCCCATCAGGCTAGGATGCAAACCCAGGTATCCTGCACTCTAGTCTATGGACAAGGCCACTGTAGACCACAGCCACAGAGAACCAAGGACAACTCTCAGTTATTCACAACTACGGCTAACACCGTCTAGTGCTGAAATCCACGTGGGAAATGCACTAAAAAACCAGTTACAAGACAAAAATAAAAGAATAGTGCGCTGTAAAACCATGGCTCCTCTAACATTAATGCCTGGGCTCTCCTCACGGAGCCTTGTTGTCCTGCTGGGTGCAAAGCCTCTCTCTCAAAAGAGCCCTGGGTGTTCGGACACAGCCAAGCCTTATACTCCATCACATCTCCAATCACAGAACAGCTCCAGAGAGACAGGTCTTGGCTAATAACCCTTTTAACCCTGTCCTCCTTCCCCTGTGGCAACTGAAGATGTTCCTCCCCTGGCTGCCCAGTCAGGTCCCAGCACGTACCTGAGGCACAATGCCCTGCTGTCCCGGCTCCTGCCGCCCCATCATGGTGTAAGACTTCCCAGCCCCCGTCTGCCCATAGGCAAAGATGCACACGTTGTAGCCTTCGAAGGCGTGCAGCAACATCTCTTCCCCAATGTCTCGATACACCTGCTGCTGAGACGCAAACTGCGGGTCCTCCACCTAGGTGAAATGGAGGCAGCGGGAGGAGACAGGAGCCCTGGATGAGGTTGTTCTTTGGGTCTACGGCCTAAGCATCCTGACCTCTCAGTGACCGCCCCAAAGGTCCTGGGGGCCCCTCACCTCCACTACATCATGCTTATCATCCCTGAGGTTCTTATCCAGCCCCCTGCTGGTCCTAACTATCTGGACAGAGTCTACTTCCCACCTCTAGGTTCTAAACACAGCCCAAGAGTTTCATTCCACCCAGAGGTACTTGTCCTCCCAATTCAGTCCCCTGGATACCCTTATTTCCCAGCAATAGGCCCTCTTCTCAGGACCCAAATCCCACCCCCAACCCCCGCCCCTCGTCTCCTACGGCTAGGTTCTTCCTCTAGCCCCAACAGCCTCACCGAAGTATGTGACCAATAAGAATAGTCGAAGGTGAAGCTTTTGGGGGCATCCTTGCTCTGTTTGGGATTGATGATGGCTGAGAAAACAAAGAGAGGAAAGCCAAGGTCAGGTACGCTCAACCTCTGCCCACTTTCCCATAAGCCCCAAGGATCCAGGATCCCACTCCCCATCTCTATCTTAACTCATCTCTCCCCTTTAATGATCCCCACCCCCTCCAGCCACCAAAGCTAATTTTGGCTTCACAGGACCCGCCCCCACTGGAGCTGCCTCCCTGGATTGGGCAATGGAGGGCTGCTGGCCAGCATTCCCCCTCCCAGGGACGGGAACATGGAAAGGCCAGTCTGCCCCCCCCCCTGCAGCTAGCACATGCTCTATGCCCAGCATGGCCTTCCTCCCGGGACAGCCCAGCAGGCCTCTGGAGTCACTCACAGGTGGTGTTGCCCTGCATGCTGACCACACACTTGGCATCCTGGCTGGTCTCACGGGCATTGAAGGGCCGAACCCTTACGGCCACTTTCACTGAGGCACCAGCCATAGTTTCTGAAACTCCTGTCTTCCTCAGCTGGACAGAAAAAAAAGGGGTGGTCAGAGCCATGGGGAGCACTCAAGACATCGCCTGCCTGCTTCTTGAGTCCATCTCTACACACTCTATCCCAGCTAGCTAGCTACCCATCCCCTCAAGGACTCAGTTTCCTGCTCTTCTGGACTTCCTCCTAAATGTCACTCCCGAAAATATTCCTGCTTCTCTCCCCAACCAGATCCCAGTTTGCAGGGGCTTGGGCCATCACCCCGGAGTTACCTGGTGTCCCGGCCCCAGATCAGGGGGGCTGGATCAGTTCTGGCTGCCACCGGCCCTCGTATGGGAAGCCCCATCCTACACTTGGGGCCTGGCCACACCAGCAGGGCTGTAAGGGAAACCAGGATTGTGGGGGAAGAGAAGTCAGGAGGCGCCTGAAGCTCCAAAGGTCTGTCTGGGGTTCTGTGTTTAGAGAGCAAGGGATAGGGAGATGCTAGGGAAGTCAGGATAGCCGCCCTTCTGGAGTGGCTCAATGCAATGTGAATCCAAGGGCAGAGGCAGCGGTATTTTTATTCCCAGTCACTCACCAGCGTACTGAGCGTTCAGTTGGAGGAGAGGGAGCGAGAGAATGAAACACAGACTGGACAGAGGGTGATTCACGGGGAAGAACACATGGGCAGCGACACTGAGGGGGGCCGGCAGGGAAGAGGAGGGAGAGAAAGTTAGACACCGAGAAAATGAGAGGCATCAGACAAAAGACAAGATTGAGGTCAGGCTCTACAAGAGAGAACAGCAGAAGGAAGGGGCGACAGAGATGTTGACAAGACGGGGAGCGGGCTCTGGAAGCACAAACTGGAAGCGGGGAAGAGGTGTAAGAGGGGACCAGCACTCCAATCACAGAACCCTGATCTATAATTCTTCTCCGGGGTCAGCCAGTTCCCACATAGAGCTGACCACCCTCATCCATGAGGCAGGGTCCAAGGGCTAGCAGTATAGCCTGGAACAAGGATCCACAGGGCCTGCCTTGTGGTCCCCAAACCCCTTGCCCAGCCCCCAGTACTTCCTCTTCAGGATCCAGGACAATGGGCAGGGGAGGGTGGGGTCATCCTGTATGCATAGTATCAACCCCCAGGACTCCAGGCAGGGAGACCCGGAATACCTGTATCTTGAGAGGGGATCTGCAGGCAAGCGTTGGGGAGGGGGGCTTCCTCAAAGAAGAGCAAAGGGAAAAGGTCCCAAACCCAACCTGGGACTAGTGCTATGGCGTCCACTAGCCTGGGGAAGGTGCCAGGCTGCAGCCTAGGAATGTGGGTGATCCGGGTGCCCACACCCTGGGAGGAGAGTCTAAGGAGCCCACGCCTACGGATAGCCGGGTGAAGACTTAGGAAAAGGGTTCAAGGATGCCGCATCGCATCCCCACCTGGAGTCCCCAAAGACCTCCAGCTTCTGTCATGCTGGGTTGGGCCTCACCTCACCAGCCTTCCTAGGCAGAGCAGGGGAGGGGTAAAGGGGCTGATCTATCCCACCACAGGAAGGGAGTAGCCGAAATCAGAGGCTAGCTCAGGAAGAATAGCCCTGACCCCCAAAACCCTGTCTAGGGGAGGGAAGGACACCAGGGCGGACACGCAATGTGACACCTCCGACACTAAGAAAACAGGGAATTGGGTGGCCAGGCTAGGACACAGTGGGGTAAAGGAATAAGGGAGTAGGTGCAGAGTCTGCGGGTACAGCTTTAAGGGCTCACTGGGGAGGAGGCCGCGGCTGGGGTGGGGCCGACCGACCCGAAAGGGGGTCTCGGGTCACCTGCACCTTGCCCACCGGCAGTTCTCCAACAGGCCCCCCGCCTGTCCGCTCGGGGCGGCCATGAGTTCCCGGTCCTCCAGCCCAGCCGACCGACGGCTGTCCGGGGCCTGGCACCTCTCTGCGCCTCCGCGGGATAAATAGCACATGATCCGAGCTCTCGCGCCTAGCCCGACCGACCGACCGACCGACCGGGTCGTGCAATCGGGACCTCCGAACCCCGGCTCCCCGGGCTCCCCCCTCCCGCCCCCACCCCCAGCGCATTCCTCCGCGGGCGTCCCCTCCCTGCCCCCCACCGGCTCTCACCTCGTCGCGCGGCAGGACTCCCGGCGGCGGAGAGCAAAGGGACAAACTTTCCTGGAAGCCTGAGACTGGAGAAGGGGGGGACACCCGGGGCCAGTTCGGGGGGCTGCCCCCGCCCCTCGCCGGGTCCCCGGGCGGCGGGCGGCGGATC